ACCAACTTCATCCAACGGTGACGTTATTTTTGTCCTTTCCCACGTTCTTTGTAATAAAGAATTGAATGATGAATAATCATGTATCCATAACACTATAGTTTCCAATAACTAAATATCCATTTCATTTTTCTAATTATTCTTTTAGTGGACACATAAAATGAATAGCTTGATAAACCAATAAGGACAATAAATTCTCTGTATTACAGAAAAATGCAAATGAATAAAACTCATGAGCACATGTGATCCAAAAGCTTAAGCAATTGTAAAGTAGCCATATTTATTTATTTATTCAAATTTGATCTTCAAAAGCCCCATGAATTCATTTTATCATCAATGTATCACTTGCACGAATTTCATAAATTGACAGTGGCAAATATGAACCGAGGTCTTTGGCCTATCTCTATTACTGTGTTAATTATCTCATCTAAATGATTAAAGTGTAAGTAGAATACATTCACAAGCAGTGAAATAAAAAAACCTAAATGACACTGGTTACAAATTTGACAGAGATAGGAAAGCAAAAATTAATTCAATTGAGCTTTAAATGAAGACAAACATAATAAAAGTACATGTGCAATTGCATTTATAACAAGTTCTAACTTAAAGGGCTTTCTAAGATTTCGAGAACCACAAGGTAAAGCAATCACACAACTGCACAAGTATTAACAACAACTTCTTGTTAACATAGCTACTAAAATAATATTTAACTTTGTCAACAAAATATTACCACTTTTAATATCTCCATCTATGTACCTTGAAAATGTAGTGCAAGTATGATAAACCCTGCACTAGATAATATATATAGTTTCAGCAAAATAAAAGAAGCAGCCAGCAAAAAATATTTCGGAGATGTTCATATTGTCAATTTTGGCATGTCCCAACGTAATGACACTATCACTAAATAAGTTCTTCTCAAATTATCCACTAATTTAGCTTATTTTATACATCATGGGAACAAGTATCTTTACCTTTTGCACTTCAGAAAAATAGGATTAGAGTATTGAAAAGCAGGTGGTAATAATCAAACTCTAAAACTAATATAATCTAACCATATACACATAAACAACAAAAAAATTCAATTCAAATATACAAAAAAATTGGAAGCTAAAATCATCCAAAATCTACAAATAGAAAAGTTTATTTGTAACGATGCAACTCGGTAAAAACAGATCGCATTTGGAGTGAAGAAACTATTTTATAAAAATTTGAAAACATAATTTTACAATTAAGTAATTGGGATGAGAAAATATATAATTGTGATATGACCACATTTTGTTGACTTTATAAAATTGCATCAGAATCCTCAATTCCTTTATTATTGTTACAAGAACATGAAACCTAGACTCCAAACTGTAAAAATTTTCAAAGGGGAGACTCTCCTCCCTGCACTATGGTTCTTTGTATTCTTACAGTGTTAGCGTCTTGATGAAATCTGGAAACCGTGTTGATCAAATGCATGTCTACATCCCAGCATATCAGCAAGAAGCCACTCTTAAGAACTATCAAAGAACACATCCAAAGACAAACTAATCATCTTTCTTCTTTAGGTGAGATTTTAAATGCATGAAAAGAAAAATTACCTTGTGAAGATGAAAGCTTATTCCATCCACCACCAGTGTGATATCACTTGGCAGACTCGAATTGCAGAACCTAAAAGGAGAAGCAAAATTTCAAGTCATTTTGGCCCAACATTCAACAATAAGATCATCTCAATACCAATTCAACACCCCACCCCCAAGAATATCCAAGACTCCCATAGCTTCACACTTCTCTTCCCATCAATCACAAGCTTGGTTGCCTACCGATATAAAATTTCAAAAATAAAGCCTACAAATATATGGATCTCTCCCGTGAAAGTCAAACACCCGAACCCACACAATTTTTCAATCCAGTCTCAGGAGATTTATAATATGAACCCAACCAAGCTTCAAGTCCCCACGAAGCATTACCCTGGGCAAGTCGCATTTGAACTGAAAAGGACTCAAAAAGTTCTCTCCAGTAAAGAATGCAATTTTACCTCGCCCCAGAAACGTTACTCTACAGTCTCCATCACAGTGAACTATATAACATCACCCAAGCACACGTTAATATGAAATTATCAAATTAATTATCCTCCTTATGGCAACTTATGCTGAGAAATCAGATGTCAAATTTCCTAACTTAACAGTGATTATGTGAGTTTACAAACGCATGATGATACATGTAAAGAGTATAAATACGTGGAGACAAGGAAAAATGCAAACTTTTTATCCCCAATAAACAACTTAACTAAAATTATATGTATCTATTGTTAAAACTTTAGTAGTAAATGACAAAAAAAGCTTGTGAAAAAGTCCCCCTACATGAATAATTATTAAAGGAAATCC